TATAATATGAAGTTACTCTGTCATATTTCAATGAATTTTTGCATGATTTCGTCAACCATCCATGTTAATTTATGTTACAAAGAAGATTTTGCCACTAGTTGATACTTTATTATCGCTGGAGGTTGAGTTTTCCACAAGAAGCCAATTCCGAATGTCACTTTTTCTTTTGGCTGATGTAACCCTTTCGAAGACATCATGGGAATGGTCATCTGTAACAAGTGTAGAGAGCACTTCTGCCTCCGTAAATCGATTCTCCTTCAACCGTAAAATTTCTGATACTGCCCTGTTACATCTTTACCGATCGAAAAAAACCAGCCAGCCAGGAGTTAACTATCTTGGCTACCACAATGATAAGGTTAAATGTACTTCCGCCGTTTCAGCTTCTCAGATTCAAATATACAACACACCGATTCCTCTAAATGGTCAACGCTGCGATTTAACTTGACTGAAAGAAAAAACGTTTTAAAAAAAGTTTCAAAAAAAGCAACCATTGTCGAAATGCGATCGACTGTAGCCTACACTGCGAAACACTATTCACAGCGCTGCAAATTACCTGCGTGAATCTTTGTCAGTGTACCAGACAATCAAGAAAAAGATCTATGCGATGATTACGAATGGACAGTCAATTTATTCATCACAAAACGATAAAAACGGCATTGTCTTAGCAGACTGTACATGGTACGTCGAAGGGACAATGCAGATTAAAAAACTTCTAGAAAAAAAAATCAATCTGTCCCCAGGAACGAGGCAGATAATTAAGACAGCCTACTCTGTCAAAAACAGCAATTAATAACAATCTTTGCCTAACAACGGCAACTGGCATGGCTAACGTACTGTCACGGCCATTTGAGGTAGGTCATTAATTTCGCGATTAGGCACTCATCCCGTTGAGAGTGGTCAAAGTCATGGTGTAAAGTAATAACCATCATGCCAGGTTGGTTATTACTTACTGTAGTGTAAGCACTTACCGATGTTCATGAGATACTCTGGGTTTTCGGAATTGACAAGGACACTCTGCCCTGAGAGATACTGACTGCAAGCTCTGCCGTGATACTGCTGACAGGTACCAGGCACCATTCCATGCTCCCAGTGTACCGGTATTTCTTGAGCGGACGAGATCATGCTTGGAGATTTGGGTGGCAGCTGATTTTGAAGAAACGTGTCTACAAACAAGAAAAGGTTCATAATTTAAAAGTTTACGCTGTATAACTTCAAAAACTAAACTATAATTTACCGCTGCTGACCAACTTCATCAAGACGTGATAGAGACATTGACTCGCTCGAAACATACTACTGAAGAGTACTCTGTTATCACTACTTTATCACCTAGTGATTACTCTCAAATTAATCATCCAGAAATTTATTTCATATCGCCACAGAAAAGGACTTGTTTACCTTTTCATGGTAAGGGGAGTCGGCAAATTAACTTCCCCTACAGATCAACATCGAGTCACTGAGCACCGTTACATCGCTAATAAGAAGTTTGTCTTTGGGTTGCACGGTGGAACATTGATGATAGCTCTTATTAGAAACTAACCGCTGGGTTTCTTCGGCGACCAGTTCGACGATACTATAAAAAATACCGACGAATCCGCTTAGTGACTTTGGAATGGAATTCAGAGATACACGGAGCATGAGTGGTGTCACCGTTCAATATCCGATTTGAACCGCGATATGTAGCTCATTCAACGTCAGCATAAAAAATATTATTTTTAAGAAAATTACAGTAAGCCCTATACGCAAAAACAAAGACTGGGCTAAAACCAGAGAAGGGGCAAAAGTTCAAGTTCAAGTGCTCTGCTCATTACCATCCCTTTTCAGAAGGGTAATAAAGCTGCAGCTTGTCTAATACACGCTAAAACATCGTTTCTTGTTTTGATATTTGGAGGTGAATCCTATGTCGAGAAAGGAAGATTTTTTCTCATAAAAACAGTTTTAAGTTAGTTCCTCCAATGTAATGTGCCGATCGCTGGCCCCTTCATCGTCCGTGCATAGATTTCCACGCCATCAACTGGCGAGCAGGTGCGTCATTGTTAACGGTCAGACAATAAATACGGGTTACTCTGCCATTCCGTTTAATCTCACATGACAAAACAGCAGCAACCGTTAATTTTAAGTAATTATGAAACTAACTGTGCCAGTTTTCCGGCTCTAAAGCTCTTCGTACATCAGCCTGGCAACATCTGAACTTGTCATAACTAAGCAGCTTTCATTAACGTTCTGAGAACGTCACGAAATCGCAATCAATGGCGTTGAACTATGGTGCCTACTTCCTGAATGTAAAAAGAAATGTAGTGCGTTGCAAACTGGCTACCGATCAGATCTGTTTACTACCTTCTGTTAATACAGACTAGAGTGGAAAATGAAACTACTGTCTCATGAGCAAAATACAATATCGTATATTTCGAAGAACAAATTTCGCAATTTGGAAGAGTAACAATTACCCTAAGACTAAACCCAGATTAAGACCATATCAGAGACAAGATGCAAACTGGTTTTCAGTAAGATGAAAAAAAGATTAACTTAAAGGGCAATGAAGGTTCAAGGCACATGTACAGAGCCTACTGATCTCTCACGACTTGGAGAGCATTTAACCAAGTCACAATTAATTGGCATGCACGTACGATGCTTATATGCACCATTTTATAGGCCAGAACAATATCTTTTGTCATTTACGA